GTTGGGCGTAACGTGTCAACACTTCGATAACTATAGTGGCCATTTAACTGGGATCACTAAGATTCGTCTACCCAGTGTAGAGTACCAGCATTGAAATAGAACCTGGGTGTTGGGCGTAACGTGTCAACACTTTGATAACTATACTGGCCATTTAACTGGGATCACTAAGATCTTTCTACCCAGTGTAGAGTACCAGCATTGAAATAGAACCTGGGTGTTGGGCGTAACGTGTCAACACTTTGATAACTATACTGGCCATTTAACTGGGATCACTAAGATCTTTCTACCCAGTGTAGAGTACCAGCATTGAAATAGAACCTGGGTGTTGGGCGTGACGAGTCAACACTTTGATAACTATACTGGCCATTTAACTGGGATCACTAAGATCTTTCTACCCAGTGTAGAGTACCAGCATTGAAATAGAACCTGGGTGCTGGGCGTGACGAGTCAACACTTCGATAACTATACTGGCCATTTAACTGGGATCACTAAGATCCGTTTACCCAGAATATATAGTACCAGCACTGGAATAGAACCTGGGTGTTGGGCGTAACGTGTCAACACTTCGATAACTATAGTCGCCATTTAAATGGGATCACTAAGATTCGTCTACCCAGTGTAGAGTACCAGCATTGAAATAGAACCTGGGTGTTGGGCGTAACGTGTCAACACTTTGATAACTATACTGGCCATTTAACTGGGATCACTAAGATCTTTCTACCCAGTGTAGAGTACCAGCATTGAAATAGAACCTGGGTGTTGGGCGTGACGAGTCAACACTTTGATAACTATACTGGCCATTTAACTGGGATCACTAAGATCCGTTTACCTAGAATATAGTACCAGCATTGGAATAGAACCTGGGTGTTGGGCGTAACGTGTCAACACTTCGATAACTATAGTGGCCATTTAACTGGGATCACTAAGATTCGTCTACCCAGTGTAGAGTACCAGCATTGAAATAGAACCTGGGTGTTGGGCGTAACGTGTCAACACTTTGATAACTATACTGGCCATTTAACTGGGATCACTAAGATCTTTCTACCCAGTGTAGAGTACCAGCATTGAAATAGAACCTGGGTGTTGGGCGTGACGAGTCAACACTTTGATAACTATACTGGTCATTTTACTGGGATCACTCAGATTCGTCTACCCAGTATAGAGTACCAGCATTGGAATAGAACCTGGGTGTTGGGCGTAACGCGTCAACACTTCGATAACTATAGTGGCCATTTAACTGGGATCACTAAGATTCGTCTACCCAGTGTAGAGTACCAGCATTGAAATAGAACCTGGGTGTTGGGCGTAACGTGTCAACACTTTGATAACTATACTGGCCATTTAACTGGGATCACTAAGATCTTTCTACCCAGTGTAGAGTACCAGCATTGAAATAGAACCTGGGTGTTGGGCGTAACGTGTCAACACTTCGATAACTATACTGGCCATTTAACTAGGATCACTAAGATCTTTCTACCCAGTGTAGAGTACCAGCATTGAAATAGAACCTGGGTGTTGGGCGTGACGAGTCAACACTTTGATAACTATACTGGCCATTTAACTGGGATCACTAAGATCTTTCTACCCAGTGTAGAGTACCAGCATTGAAATAGAACCTGGGTGTTGGGCGTGACGAGTCAACACTTCGATAACTATACTGGCCATTTAACTGGGATCACTAAGATCCGTTTACCTAGAATATAGTACCAGCACTGGAATAGAACCTGGGTGTTGGGCGTAACGTGTCAACACTTCGATAACTATAGTCGCCATTTAACTGGGATCACTAAGATTCGTCTACCCAGTGTAGAGTACCAGCATTGAAATAGAACCTGGGTGTTGGGCGTAACGTGTCAACACTTTGATAACTATACTGGCCATTTAACTGGGATCACTAAGATCTTTCTACCCAGTGTAGAGTACCAGCATTGAAATAGAACCTGGGTGTTGGGCGTGACGAGTCAACACTTTGATAACTATACTGGCCATTTAACTGGGATCACTAAGATCCGTTTACCCAGAATATAGTACCAGCATTGAATAGAACCTGGGTGTTGGGCGTAACGTGTCAACACTTCGATAACTATAGTGGCCATTTAACTGGGATCACTAAGATTCGTCTACCCAGTGTAGAGTACCAGCATTGAAATAGAACCTGGGTGTTGGGCGTGACGAGTCAACACTTTGATAACTATACTGGCCATTTAACTGGGATCACTAAGATCTTTCTACCCAGTGTAGAGTACCAGCATTGAAATAGAACCTGGGTGTTGGGCGTGACGAGTCAACACTTTGATAACTATACTGGTCATTTTACTGGGATCACTCAGATTCGTCTACCCAGTATAGAGTACCAGCATTGAATAGAACCTGGGTGTTGGGCGTAACGCGTCAACACTTCGATAACTATAGTGGCCATTTAACTGGGATCACTAAGATTCGTCTACCCAGTGTAGAGTACCAGCATTGAAATAGAACCTGGGTGTTGGGCGTAACGTGTCAACACTTTGATAACTATACTGGCCATTTAACTGGGATCACTAAGATCTTTCTACCCAGTGTAGAGTACCAGCATTGAAATAGAACCTGGGTGTTGGGCGTAACGTGTCAACACTTCGATAACTATACTGGCCATTTAACTGGGATCACTAAGATCTTTCTACCCAGTGTAGAGTACCAGCATTGAAATAGAACCTGGGTGTTGGGCGTGACGAGTCAACACTTTGATAACTATACTGGCCATTTAACTGGGATCACTAAGATCTTTCTACCCAGTGTAGAGTACCAGCATTGAAATAGAACCTGGGTGTTGGGCGTGACGAGTCAACACTTTGATAACTATACTGGCCATTTAACTGGGATCACTAAGATCTTTCTACCCAGTGTAGAGTACCAGCATTGAAATAGAACCTGGGTGTTGGGCGTGACGAGTCAACACTTTGATAACTATACTGGTCATTTTACTGGGATCACTCAGATTCGTCTACCCAGTATAGAGTACCAGCATTGGAATAGAACCTGGGTGTTGGGCGTAACGCGTCAACACTTCGATAACTATAGTGGCCATTTAACTGGGATCACTAAGATCCGTCTACCCAGTGTAGAGTACCAGCATTGAAATAGAACCTGGGTGTTGGGCGTAACGTGTCAACACTTTGATAACTATACTGGCCATTTAACTGGGATCACTAAGATCTTTCTACCCAGTGTAGAGTACCAGCATTGAAATAGAACCTGGGTGTTGGGCGTAACGTGTCAACACTTCGATAACTATACTGGCCATTTAACTGGGATCACTAAGATCTTTCTACCCAGTGTAGAGTACCAGCATTGAAATAGAACCTGGGTGTTGGGCGTGACGAGTCAACACTTTGATAACTATACTGGCCATTTAACTGGGATCACTAAGATCTTTCTACCCAGTGTAGAGTACCAGCATTGAAATAGAACCTGGGTGTTGGGCGTGACGAGTCAACACTTCGATAACTATACTGGCCATTTAACTGGGATCACTAAGATCCGTTTACCTAGAATATAGTACCAGCACTGGAATAGAACCTGGGTGTTGGGCGTAACGTGTCAACACTTCGATAACTATAGTGGCCATTTAACTGGGATCACTAAGATTCGTCTACCCAGTGTAGAGTACCAGCATTGAAATAGAACCTGGGTGTTGGGCGTAACGTGTCAACACTTTGATAACTATACTGGCCATTTAACTGGGATCACTAAGATCTTTCTACCCAGTGTAGAGTACCAGCATTGAAATAGAACCTGGGTGTTGGGCGTGACGAGTCAACACTTTGATAACTATACTGGCCATTTAACTGGGATCACTAAGATCTTTCTGCCCAGTGTAGAGTACCAGCATTGGAATAGAACCTGGGTGTTGGGCGTGACGAGTCAACAATTCGATAACTGTACTGGCCATTTAACTGGGATCACTAAGATCCGTTTACCTAGAATATAGTACCAGCATTGGAATAGAACCTGGGTGTTGGGCGTGACGAGTCAACACTTTGATAACTATACTGGTCATTTAACTGGGATCACTCAGATTCGTCTACCCAGTATAGAGTACCAACATTGAAATAGAACGTGGGTGTTGGGCGTAACGTGTCAACACTTTGATAACTATACTGGCCATTTAACTGGGATCACTAAGATCTTTCTACCCAGTGTAGAGTACCAGCATTGAAATAGAACCTGGGTGTTGGGCGTGACGAGTCAACACTTCGATAACTATACTGGCCATTTAACTGGGATCACTGAGATCCGTTTACCTAGAATATAGTACCAGCATTGGAATAGAACCTGGGTGTTGGGCGTGACGAGTCAACACTTTGATAACTATACTGGTCATTTAACTGGGATCACTCAGATTCGTCTACCCAGTATAGAGTACCAACATTGGAATAGAACGTGGGTGTTGGGCGTAACGTGTCAACACTTTGATAACTATACTGGCCATTTAACTGGGATCACTAAGATTCGTCTACCCAGTGTAGAGTACCAGCATTGAAATAGAACCTGGGTGTTGGGCGTAACGTGTCAACACTTTGATAACTATACTGGCCATTTAACTGGGATCACTAAGATCTTTCTACCCAGTGTAGAGTACCAGCATTGAAATAGAACCTGGGTGTTGGGCGTAACGTGTCAACACTTTGATAACTATACTGGCCATTTAACTGGGATCACTAAGATCTTTCTACCCAGTGTAGAGTACCAGCACTGAAATAGAACCTGAGTGTTGGGCGTAACGTGTCAACACTTTGATAACTATAGTCGCCATTTAACTGGGATCACTAAGATATTTCTACCCAGTGTAGAGTACCAGCATTGAAATAGAACCTGGGTGTTGGGCGTGACGAGTCAACACTTTGATAACTATACTGGCCATTTAACTGGGATCACTAAGATCCGTCTACCTAGTATATAGTACCAGCATTGGAATAGAACCTGGGTGTTGGGCGTGACGAGTCAACACTTTGATAACTATGCTAGCTCTGCCCCCTCCCCCTCCCCTTCTGAAGCTGTATAGTGCTTGCAGTCAGGACATGTTTTCAGCTGTCATGACGGAGCACTCCCCCGAGAGGATTCCGGTGGATTAAAAAAGAGTTTCTGCATCCTACACCTGTTGTAAGAGATGGTGATAAGGTTACAGTGTGTGACGTTGTTAATGTCATCGTACTCCGGCGGCGTGGGTCATGCCGTCTCCGTGTGGTGTGCATGCGTAATACTCAGTAATGTTCAACTCCGCTGCACTGATGGAAAAGTTCGGAATTGCAGAACACAAAACCCCCGATGCTCTCACTCACTGAACCACTCACTCACTCACTCAACCACACACTCACTCACTCACTCAAGCCAGGGCTTGACCTTCTTGAACACTAACATGCTATGAAACTGAACCAACTGCAGACAAAAATATCGATAGTGCAAATCTGTAACACTATTCGACATTAAAAACGCCAAGTAAAAACAGAGTACTCGGTAATTTCAAACTCCAAGTCTAATGGCCCTATTTCCTCACTAAAGCGTGTCTAATTCCTGAATTTAATTTTAGACCATGTCGATATCAGAAGTCTGCTTTTATAAGAAAGATGACAATCTCTTTTACTGTCGCATCATTTTCAGAAGGGATGCTCTAGTGCAGTAAAAGCTACGGTACTGAAACCTAACGGTGTGAGACTATTAGTTGCAGCTGAAGCCAGGGTGTTGTCCGATTACGACCCGATTACGGGATAATTCGTTAAGCTCTCCTTGTAGATTACGATCGATCTTTCGAGAAACATTCTGACACTGACCCCAAGGTCATGCATGTTTGTTTAAAATGACCCCAACTTCACACAATTACTGCTGACGATTTTTTAAACTCTAACTGATTTACGGTGGTACCAGGGACATGGCTATGTTCTGTGGGATTTTCGGAATTGCGCACGGATTCCCGAGGGCAGATTATTAGATTTTGCTTCAGAAAATTAAATTTCATGTCAGAATTTAGTTCAGTAGATGATACCCGTGGTGAATTTCAATTCCAGTCAACTGAACTACAAAGCCTTGGACTGTGGCTTTTAATTACAGTGACGCAGATTGGGGATTGTACCCATTCATATTTCATTATGTAATATGCGCCCACAGGCAAACACAACTCTCCCAAGCAAATGTTCTCGTAAATGTGGTCTGTAAAATGGTGATTTTTGTTGAAGGCCAAGATAAAAGCAAATCGAAGTGATATGGAATTTAGCTAGTCTGTCTCACAGTCCCAGAAACATTATGTTTCCCTCTCTGTGGTGCAAAAACTCCAGATGAAGTAAGTCCAGATTCCCTGAGTGACTGAATCTCTGAGGTCACTGGGGCTCCTTTTCAACTTAGTTAGAGTTGTTTGTATCTACTGTTGCAAAAGTATAATGATTAAGCTAGTGACATGTGACCTCTTCGGCTATCTTCGCAGCTTTCAGCTCAAAACAAAAGAGGACATGTCTATTTACATGTGTGGTGTAGCAGAGGCATCCAGATTTAAAGTGGTTAGGATCGGTGCCGTCAGAAAAGACAGAATAGGATTGAGATACCACTGAGTTGGAGGAGGACGTCTAGTGCAGCCATGAAGGAAGTGTAGGATAATCAAGATTGTAGTGCAAGGCAACCAAGAAGGAATCCTACCACAACCAAGAAGGTAGTCTAGTACAACCAAGAAGGAAATGTACTGCAGCCAAGCAGGATGTCTAGTGCAACCAAGAAGGAGGTCCAGTCCGACGTCTAAGGCATCCAAGAAGGAAATCTAAAGCAAAAGAAAGAAATGGAAGATAACCATTAAGGAAGCGTAGGGTAATCAAGAAGGAAGTGTCGGACAAATAAGAAAGAAGTGTAGGACAAACAAGAAAAAAGTTTAGGACAAACAAGAAAGAAGTGTAGGACAAACAAGAAGGAAGTGTTGGACAAACAAGGAGGAAGTGTAGGACAAACAAGAAGAAAGTGTAGGACAAACAAGAAGGAAGTGTAGGACAAACAAGAAAGAAGTGGAGGACAAACAAGAAAGAAGTGGAGGACAAACAAGAAGGAAGTGTTGGACAAACAAGGAGGAAGTGTAGGACAAACAAGAAGGAAGTGTAGGACAAACAAGAAGAAAGTGTGGAGGACAAACAAGAAAGAAGTGGAGGACAAACAAGAAAGAAGTGGAGGACAAACAAGAAAAGTGTTGGAGTGGAGGACAAACAAGAAGGAAGTGTTGGACAAACAAGGAGGAAGTGTAGGACGAAAAAGAAAGAAGTGGAGGACAAACAAGGAAGAAGTGGAGGACAAACACAAGAAAGAAGTGGAGGACAAACAAGAAAGAAGTGGAGGACACACAAGAAAGAAGTGGAGGACACACAAGAAAGAAGTGGAGGACAAACAAGAAAGAAGTGGAGGACAAACAAGGGACAAAACAAGAAGGAAGTGGAGAAGTGGAGGACACACAAGAAAGAAGTGGAGGACAAACAAGAAAGAAGTGGAGGACAAACAAGAAAGAAGTGGAGGACACACAAGAAAGAAGTGGAGGACAAACAAGGAAGAAGTGGAGGACAAACAAGGAAGAAGTGGAGGGAAGAAGTGGAGGACACACAAGAAAGAAGTGGAGGACAAACAAGGAAGAAGTGGAGGACAAACAAGGAAGAAGTGGAGGACAAACAAGGAAGAAGTGGAGGACAAACAAGGAAGAAGTGGAGGACAAACAAGGACTAAGTGGAGGACACACAAGAAAGAGAGTGGAGCACAAACAAGAAAGAAGTGGAGGACAAACAAGGAGGAAGTGGAGGACAAACAAGAAAGAAGTGGAGGACAAACAAGGAAGAAGTGGAGGACACACAAGAAAGAAGTGGATGACAAACAAGGAAGAAGTGTAGGACAAACAAGAAAGAAGTGGAGGACAAACAAGAAGACAGTTTAGGACAAACAAGAAAGAAGTGGACGAGAAACAAGGAAGATGAAGGATCGGAGGAACAATAGAAAATGGTAAAGAGAGGAAGAGGCGATGAAAGAGAAGAGAAGAATCTAGAAAGGGGAGGGTGAGGGAGGACAAAAACAGAAACATCTCTGAAATACGTGGTTACACAGACACACAATATATCTTTGCAACAGGCCCATAACATATTGTTATAAAATGATAAATCACTCATGCTGGTGTAAAGTACATGCGTACCGCTATATCATTCAAGAAAAGGGTATTAGGTACTTTTCCGTTTGTATTTTTTTAGCAAAGAACACACACGTATTATGAAGGAAACGATTATCAACTGTTTGCACTAGCTGTGGAAATATATGAGGCAGATATTCAGTGTAATATGGCGAGAGGCATTTGTTTCTTATAGTGGCATACATCTATGGCATCCATCGTCAATACATTTACAGGTCTTGGACAGGCAGAATTCGCAGACTCGTTCATTGTGGGGCAGTGAAACTGTGTCATACATATAAACGGAACTTGTTACATCTAGAGATATAGATATGAATTCCAGCGCCTGGAGCATGCACTAGTGCGTGGATATGTGCGCTATATAGATATCCAATAATAATATCCAAAACCAATGTGGAAGCTCAACTTATAAATAACGTTCCATGTTCAACATAGATTTGATCTGTACACAGTAATCACATTTGCAAGAAAATTCCACTGCAAAATGCCAGCTGTGATGGATATTTTCTGACAGCCTTTGCTAGAATTCATTTAGGAGTGTTATATCGCGCATTTCTTGGTGCATCCAAACCTGTCTAAAGCCTAAACAAAGTGCCCTTAATTGACGTCACCAATGGCTCACCAATGGCTGTCCACGTCATCAAGTAATGTCCTCATTTACATGAGGAGGCTTGACGAGGTCATCTGTGAATGTCAACATGAAGAAATCTGCACCAGTGTTTTGTGCCAGAGTGCATGTACATGTATATAGAGACTATTAGGTGCCCGATGAACATATGAACATCGAAGATTATACTTACAGTTGAGCTTGGTTACAATCGAAACTTTGATTCACATAAAAGCGTATTAGTATCACAGTCGGAAACAAATTCATCATCTTCATTCATTATACCCCTATCTCCATGGAGGGGTAGCGGGAGGGTAGCCCATTTCTGGTACCATATTATGTGCGTATATGCTCATACCTTGATATTGTCTTGTGAAGTTGCAATTCTTGTTGATTTAAGTTTATACAAATATATGCTTGATTTCTTTAAATGTTTAGTAGTACTTGTGTCGTTTATTTTAATGTGCCCATATCTGTATTTACATAACCTTATGAAACTATTACTAATTGGCAAACTATATACATTAAAATAGAAACAGACCTGTGATAAATTCATTTTAAAAACTTATGGAGGGTTATTTTATTGAATGTTCAAACTAAAACAAAACTGGTGTTTGTTAAGTCAAGACTGGGGCGGTAATAGACTTCCACAGATTTAGAAACAAAAACATCAGTCTCCCGATATATGGCAACACGTCCTCGGTACCAAACTGAAAATGGCGGTGAAATAAGGTTTATTGGGTTTATATTTAATGTTACTTGGTGTCTGGAATATGTCATCGCTCCAGTCGAGCCACAGTCCTCCTCAATGGATTAACTGAAGCTGCAGTAAATCCTCGCGGCCTGGTCTATCACATGTTTTGTATTTCATTAGTTTAAAAGCCCCATGTATACGGAAAGTGCACCTACAACGGCTGGGCGTACAAAACTATCTTGTCAATCGCACATGTTAAATACCACCTGACAACCATTGTATGGAACCTTTCAAGATTCTTCAATATTTGAACTTGAAAGCTGTTTACCTTTATCAACATTAAAACATGACAAGTCATGCAGTTCTCTTTTCTTGTCCCGACAACCCAGGTAAATGCACAAATTACACCAATGTGCAATAAATATAAAGGGCTGAATGTGTGCAACCAACTTTGAATTCGCTAAGGCACCCTATTTACCGGGGGTGGTTACCTCGCGTTACAATCACGTGGTTATATTACGGCGCTGCGCCATTGTGAGGTCACATTGATATACATCCACTCAGGTGGAAGATACCGTAGTTAACACAGTAAGAACAACTGCCTGGTGGGCATGTTTACTGAGGGAGTGAGTGAGTTTAGTTTTACGCCGCTTTTAGCAATATTCCGGCAATATCACGGCGGGGGACACCAGGGGCTTCACACACTGTACCCATGTGAGGAATCGAACCCGGGTTTACGGCGTGACGGGCGAACGCTTTAACCACTGGGCTACCCCACCGCCCCTTTACTGAGGGAACTGATGGTGTTTTACTCTGTACCCCAGCAATACCTATACTATATTATGACATCCTGAAATATTAATATCATATCACATCAAGATTCGTCATGAAAGGACTTTCTTTTCAATGCAGGGGCACAGCAATGTCTTGTCAGCAAGAGTACAGCAATGTCACGGAGGCGTCTGATCACCAATAGTACAGCAATGTCACAGGGCTTCTACTCAGCAATAATACAGCAATGTCCCGGTGGCGACTAATCACTAATAGTACAGCTATGGTCTCCCGTCAGCGATAGTACAGCTATGGTTTCCCGTCAGCAATAGTACAGCTATGGTCTCCCGTCAGCAACAGTACAGCTATGGTCTCCCGTCAGCAATGTGACAGAGGCGTCTAGTGAGCGACAGCTACTCCAGCTAAGCCACTGAGGCGTCTAGTCACCAATAGTTCAGCAATGTCACAGAGGCGTCTAGTCAGCAATAGTTCAGCAATGTCACAGAGGCGTCTAGTCAGCAATATCTCAGCAATGTCACGGTAGCGTCTAGTCACCAATAGTACAGCAATGTCACAGAGGCGTCTAGTCAGCAATATCTCAGCAATGTCACGGAAGCGTCTAGTCAGCAATAGTACAGCAATGTCACGGAGGCGTCTAGTCACCAATAGTTCAGCAATGTCACGGAGGCGTCTAGTCAGCAATAGTACAGCAATGTCACAGAGGCGTCTAGTCACCAATAGTTCAGCAATGTCACGGAAGCGTCTAGTCAGCAATATTTCAGCAATGTCACAGAGGCGTCTAGTCAGCAATATCTCAGCAATGTCACGGTAGCGTCTAGTCACCAATAGTACAGCAATGTCACAGAGGCGTCTAGTCAGCAATATCTCAGCAATGTCACGGAAGCGTCTAGTCAGCAATAGTACAGCAATGTCACAGAGGCGTCTAGTCACCAATAGTTCAGCAATGTCACGGAAGGGTCTAGTCAGCAATAGTACAGCAATGTCACAGAGGCGTCTAGTCACCAATAGTTCAGCAATGTCACGGAAGCGTCTAGTCAGCAATAGTACAGCAATGTCACGGAGGCGTCTAGTCACCAATAGTACAGCAATGTCACAGAGGCGTCTAGTCAGCAATAGTACAGCAATGTCCCGGTGGCGACTAATCACTAATAGTACAGCTATGGTCTCCCGTCAGCGATAGTACAGCTATGGTCTCCCGTCAGCAATAGTACAGCTATGGTCTCCCGTCAGCAATAGTACAGCTATGGTCTCCCGTCAGCAATGTCACGGAAGCGTCTAGTGAGCGACAGCTACTCCAGCTAAGCCACAGAGGCGTCTAGTCAGCAATAGTACAGCAATGTCACGGAAGCGTCTAGTCAGCAAAATAGTACAGCAATGTCACAGAGGCGTCTAGTCAGCAATATCTCAGCAATGTCACGGATGCGTCTACTTAGCGATACTCCAGCTAAGCCACAGAGGCGTCTAGTCTCTAATAGTTCAGCAATGTCACAGGGCTTCTACTCAGCAATAGTACAGTAATGTCACAGAGGCGTCTAGTCACCAATAGTACAGCAATGCCACAGAGGCGTCTAGTCACCAATAGTTCAGCAATGTCACAGAGGCGTCTAGTGAGCGACAGCTACTCCAGCTAAGCCACTGAGGCGTCTAGTCACCAATAGTTCAGCAATGTCACAGAGGCGTCTAGTGAGCGACAGCTACTCCAGCTAAGCCACTGAGGCGTCTAGTCACCAATAGTTCAGCAATGTCACAGAGGCGTCTAGTGAGCTACAGCTACTCCAGCTAAGCCACTGAGGCGTCTAGTCACCAATAGTTCAGCAATGTCACAGAGGCGTCTAGTCAGCAATAGTACAGCAATGTCCCGGTGGCGACTAATCACTAATAGTACAGCTATGGTCTCCCGTCAGCGATAGTACAGCTATGGTCTCCCGTCAGCAATAGTACAACTATGGTCTCCCGTCAGCAACAGTACAGCTATGGTCTCCCGTCAGCAATGTCACGGAAGCGTCTAGTGAGCGACAGCTACTCCAGCTAAGCCACTGAGGCGTCTAGTCAGCAATAGTTTTAGCAATGTCACGGAAGCGTCTAGTCAGCAAAATAGTACAGCAATGTCACAGAGGCGTCTAGTCAGCAATATCTCAGCAATGTCACGGATGCGTCTACTGAGCGATACTCCAGCTAAGCCACAGAGGCGTCTAGTCTCTAATAGTTCAGCAATGTCACAGGGCTTCTACTCAGCAATAGTATAGTAATGCCACAGAGGCGTCTAGTCACCAATAGTACAGCAATGCCACAGAGGCGTCTAGTCACCAATAGTTCAGCAATGTCACAGAGGCGTCTAGTGAGCGACAGATACTCCAGCTAAGCCACTGAGGCGTCTAGTCAGCAATAGTACAGCAATATCACAGAGGCGTCTAGTCAGCAATAGTTCAGCAATGTCACAGAGGCGTCTAGTCAGCAATATCTCAGCAATGTCACGGATGCGTCTAGTGAGCGATACTCCAGCTAAGCCACAGAGGCGTCTAGTCTCTAATAGTTCAGCAATGTCACAGGGCTTCTACTCAGCAATAGTACAGTAATGCCACAGAGGCGTCTAGTCACCAATAGTACAGCAATGCCACAGAGGCGTCTAGTCACCAATAGTTCAGTAATGTCACAGAGGCG